GGTGCGTGTGGGGCAGCTGGGGCAGCTCCCTGCTCCCCACCCGCCCCAGCTCCGCCGGGCACTGTGCTCCATGTCTCTCCCTTTCCAGCAAAGGGCCGCGCGTAGCGTTCTGTAGGCTCAGAAAGGCTTTTGCGGGCTGGCCTTGTGTGCCGAGGTGCCGCTCCTGTGAGGTAGCGGTTGGGTTAGGTTTTCCGCAGGTGGGGGGCTGGCAGGGCACTGGATGAATTGCGTCTCAGAATTTGTTCTTTAGACTTCACTGAGTATGTGGCCCAGTGGGGTATCCTGGTCGAGCAGATACAGTGAGTCTGAGGAAAAGGCGTGTGTTCCCAAGTTCACGTTCAGTGGTCATTCAGACCTTCAACAGCTTAGCAAGGCAAATTTGGTTAAAAAGGGTAATTCTCTAATTTTATCCACTTAAGCAACCTTATGCTAAGTAAAGCAGCTTGTCTTAAATAACGTGCGACTGTCTTGTAGCCTTGTGGAAAAGTAAAGCAATATGTGAAATCCTACAGACTAAGCAAAAATGTTGGTGGCATTTTTGTAAATTCCTTCCCAAGCAAATTGGTCTGGAAGCATTTCTGTTCTTTCACATAGAGGCTGGTAATTGATAGCAGGCCATCCAGTGAACACTTCTCAAATTAAAACAAAATGCTTGGTATGCTTCATACACATCTGTTGCTTTGGCCTGTTCCCTTTTTTTTTTGCCACCCTTCCCCAATCTGGATTGCAGTACTTTGTTCCTTTAGTATGTTTATCATAATATAGCTTAGATTTACTGTCAACATTTGTGGGCATGTTCATGATCCAGACTTTAAACAGCATCTTCAAGGTCAGATTGGCTACATTAATATTAGGGAAGGCTATAACTACACAACACATCAGTTTGCTGTTGCTTTTTTATAGCCTTTAGATTTGCAGATGCTCTGGAAAACCATCTTACATAGCTACTTGGCTTGGTAACTAATTTTCAGTGGTCATATGAATTAATACTTTTTTTCAGAAGGTTATCTTATTAATGTAATTTTGGAGTATGTAGTCAGACTGATTATGTAATTAGAACTTAAACTTAGATGGCCTGCAAATATTTATTGGTCTTCTACTCTGTTTTCTCCAGTCTTGTATCAGATTAGTTTTCTGGTAGGAACATACACAGATTGCTCATTGGAGAGGATTCTTCTGACATTTTGTATTGTGCTTGTTCCTGCTTATACACACCAATGCATTCTAAATTCTTTTTTGATAAATGCTTGTATAGACATTATTGCAGTTATGCTTAAGTGACTTTAGAATAAGAAGCTAGACTGAAATAAGCCTATCTCTTATTTCACAGAGTCCTCTCTGACTTCATTACACAATAGATTACTGTCGTCATAATACAGATTAGAAATAATGCTTTCAGTCAACTTCACTTTTCAAGGTAATGGGAAAGAGAGGGAAGGAGGCATCACAAACAAGCGAAAACCCTGCATGAGAAGTATTTCAGATTGTGGCTTCACACAGTCAGCTTAGGTACAGTACCGCATCAGAGGAAGAAAAACATCTCAGAAGGTCATGTGGTTGTGAAAGCAGAGCAGAGACACTGGAGCTGTTCTGCAGAAGCCAGATTGTTCCTGGCAGTGCTCTGTTTAAGCCAGCACTGACTCTGCTGATCCTCCTGGCTCTGGGTTCAGTGGCTCAGGCTGTTGTCTGTATGAACAGAGGTGTTATGCCAAGCAGTCCTAGGAGCAGAGCTGGGTTGGTGCGTAGCTGCTTGTGAGCTGATGGGCTTTTGGGAGTCTGCTGGCTTTAGCAGGTCTGAACTGTCACACTGCTTGCAACCTGCTAGTGAGTATGCAGAAGTGTACTCTGCAGTTGCTTGAATAATTGTCCTAATTCATTAATGTGGATTTTTCCATCCTTAGTCATTGATGTATAGAAACCTTATTTTGTTTTCCAAAACATTAAAGCGACTGGTTTTCATTCCTCATACTGCATAAATGGATAGGTACAAGAGTGAGGAACCAGGAGTTTTATTAAGCTCTAATACACACTTTTTCTGTGATGATGCAAGGGTAAGCTTGTGAAAACTCTGACAGCTTATTTTGTTTGTTTTTAGGTGTATGTGGTGATGAATTTAACATCTTACGGTCACCTCAGTCCGTTGTTTTTCGGGATGGAGGTTGGCCCATTCCTGGTGAGCGGATTCCAGATGTAGCTGCCTTATCCATGGGCTTTTCTGTTGAAGAGGTATGTTTCAGGTCTTGATTTTGAAATGCCTGTAAAACTACAGACCTGCTCATTTAACATATAAATCTTCCTGTCACATGCTGGAATATATAAAATGTCATCCTGTTGGTCTTGAGAAATGCATGACTTATCAAAGTGTGGTTTCCAAGCATAGAGCTATATCAGTCTTATGAGCAGCAAAAGGTTGTGCAAGCTGGCTAGTTTGAATCATCAGCTACAGAAGGAAGCAAGTCTGGGGAGTCTCTACCATGATGTTCTTCAGTTCCTCTGAGACCCAACCACTTACTGTATCCCCCCATCTGTAGTCACATACTAGGAATCTGTGGAAACCACTGTTGCTTCTTGCCTAGGAGCTATATCCCTAGGGCTCTGCTCTTGGATATTCTGAAGATTGTGAGAAATGGCTTGGCTAGGCAGGCATTCTGTCAGGTCAGCAAGCATGACTGCTGAGCATAGTTAAGCAAATAAACCAAATAGAAAGTAATCCAAAGACTTGAAAACTTAATTTGTAATAGTGTTTTTCCAAATTAGGTTTTGAACATAGTTTCAGTGATGTTTAAAATGGGGCATGTTATTAGGAGCCCTTGGGTTGATTCCATCTTGCCTACTGAATTTTTTGCTGGGCTTCAGC